TCACCCATAAAGCACTTCCCTTTTCCTTAATGTAGGGTCTACACCACCAGTGGTATTTTTCCCACTCCTCCTTTCTAAAGTTCTTTCAAGCGGCTTCCAATTTCCTATTTCACACCATGCAATTATTCCTACTCAGCAAAACCTGTGAAATTAGCCACACACAGAGGGGTAACACTGCAGCAGAAGCATTTGCGTTCCTGCTTGGTATTATCATCAAGAAACATGTTTTATTGTAGAGGTAATGCTTACTGCAGCTGCCTCGCATCCATGACAGGTCAGGTTTTACAGCTGTCTGCTTGAGAAGCTCACTTCACACTGCCTATTTGGCATCACTTTTTGGGAAGTTCTGCTGTTCTGTACCACTGGAGAAAAGTTCCCCAACTCAGAAGACAGCCAGCCAAGTTATTCCTTATGTTACCAAGAGATAACAACACTGACTTTCACAGGCGTATTATTTACTCTTGTTTCAATAACACGTACTACAGATTTATGATACTGGAACATGAAACGTTTGCATTTCTCAGCAAGTTACCAGAAGCTGCATGTCACTCCTTACATAAAGGAGACACAAAACAGGTAAGGGAGAAGCTCCAGGGAGCACACAAATTTCAGTTTCAAATATCTGATACTCACTGACCTAAAAAAAGGGTTCCCAAGCTTTGGTTACCAAGGCACCAAACTATACATCTTAATCCCTGATCTTTCTAGAGAAAGCAGGAGAGGTCTGAGCTGGCAGTTACTATTCTGAATTCTTCCTGAGGGAGGACTCAGCTATTGAGAACAGCGTGGTACATGGTCTCAGAGGCACTACTGCAAGAACTGCAGGAGGAAATCTTGAGAAAGCAGCAAAAGCCAGTTTTCACCTTCAACAGGTGCCTACAGAGGTCTGTAAATAGCCACTGTTTTTAGAGCACCCCAAGACCATCACAACAACCCCCACATACACTAAATCCTCTGAAGTTCTGTGCATATCTGGACATATGGTTTTACTACTGAGAAGCTGTAACCAGGGCTGCAGTGTTAGGCAAACAGCCCCAGCACAGTGGAGCACAGGCCTCGTTCCATTTCCTCCTCATACTGAAATGCTTCTTGGGCTGCTTATACCCTGCTTCACATTGATGTAGGAAACTGGAACTGTCCTGATACTAAAACAGAACAAGCTAAGGAAGGCTACTGTACAGAACTTTGATGCAGGAAACTAAGATAACCTGCCTTGAGCACAATCAGTACACTTCAGATGACCACAAGTTAGCTACACTGCATTAAGCGTTATAGCAAATGCTCCTTGTGATATGACAAATCCAGAGGTAATTCCTCTTGAAAATCTGAGTTCTCTCAATTCTCAAAGCCTCAAAACCCACAGAAATATTCCTACCCTTTCAGTAAAAAAATCAGATCTTCCCAACGAGGCTGTTCACCTCAACAAAGATGAAGGACTTTCATATCTAACTGGACACATTCCAACTTCAATTAATCTATGATGAGAAGAATTGTTTTTCCACACATTTTAGCCATGAAAATTCAATCTTAAGAAGAGCTATCTCTTCAGAGATAGCAATAATCTGAATTGTTTATCAATTATTTCCTTAATGAGAAGTTGGTCAGCTTTGAGCCCATACTGTTCTCTAAACTGCTCCTCTATAAAGCAGCAACTTAAACCCTATGATTTTCCCATTAGAATAGGTTTTGTTTTGACATCCAAGAGCTGCTCCAACAACCCGATGAAGTTGGCAGCAGGTCCAGTCCTCTTCTTAGCTCTGCCATTTTTTCCATTTGGCTCCACTGCAGCTTCTCAAAGTAAAAAGGAAAAGTTACTCAGGAGCAGTCAGATGAAGCAGATTAGAACACCTAGCCACACAGATACTGCTGTGAAATTCAAGCTCACTCCCATTTGGATTCGAGTCACAAGAACTAAGGTTTAACAGAAATGCTTTCTGCATGCCAAGCAACAGATTCCTTTCAAGAGTCAACTACTGCACTGCTGTCCATTTTGCCAGAGAAGACTGCTATTCCTCAGACATCTATCAGCCAACTCAGACTGATCCGTCCCTTGTTAAGATTCATAATCAAAACAAAATCAGCGTAGCAAACCATAAGGTGAAGTAGAAGCAGGATGAGGCAACACAGAAGGAAGTGGGAAATGGCCACCAATGCTTTGAAACTCAGTATTTCACATTTGCCTCAGTAAGGAATGTAGAAATCTGTGAAGAGCTCCATAACCAACAGCTCGCCATCTCCAAGCTCTCAAAGCAAGTCCTCCACCAGCAACGCCTTTCTGGAAGAGGTCCAGTCTTAATATAGCAAGACTAGGACTCCACACCAGGAGAATATTCACTGCCTGCAAAGCTTTGGGCATTCTTACAGTAGTTGAGGATGAAGGGTTTTGTCTGGTGGATTTTTGTTGTTGTTGGGGGCAGCATTTTGCTAGTTTTAATTACTCAGTGAGGTAGCTTCGGATCATCAGGACTATTCATTCCCACAAGAAGTTCACTGCCTGTTGCTTCACATCAATTCTGAATATTTCACACAGGCATCCATAGGAAGTTTTGCCTATCACTGACTGGATCCCATCACTTCCCCCCTTTGGTTTATTTCAAACACAGCAGATTATAGCTAACAACAAGCTCCACCCAAAGCCCTGCTCTACTTTGATTGCCTCTTTGATTTTTTCATCGTACTGCTTGGATGGACCAAAACAACTCAGGTTTAATATTAAACTACAACAATTCAAGTTTTGTTTTCCAGCAGGCCATTCACATTGATCTCATGAACGCTCTCTCAGAAGTTACAAACAGAACTATCAATATACAGTAACACCATCTTTGTTTTCTTTATTGCATTTTCATTAAATTATGCTCCTCAGTATACACTGTTACAACCATTTGCAAGGAGAAAAAGGAAACTGCTGGGTTGGTTGCTTTTTTATGATCATAGAATGCATGACTCCATGATTCTGAATCAGCTTTCAGGTGCACCTTCAGCCACTACAGAAAGTGAACGATAACGCTGTCAAGAAACATCAGCACAGTTTGGCTCTTTCTGAACTAATTGCTACTCTGAAGTGTAAACTGTGATACCAAACTCAAGCTTCTGCAATACATTCTCAAAAGACTACAGATAAATACTCAGAAATCAGGACTTAAGCAAAGAGCTTCCTGCCAGGTCTTCTCCTCTACTTTAACTGCGTTCTCTAGCTCCAGCCAAACATATTCACGCTCAGAAAGCACATTAAAAAAAGGCAGTCCCCTATTTCCCATAACTCGAGAAACAGAAACCATTGTTCACAGCCAGATTTGATGTATACAAGATTCCTTCTAAAAGATTATTTACACTTAAAAAATGAGATACACATCTGCTAAAGCTCGTGGATGGGATTCTTTTCCTAAGACTGCAGAATGCCACTTCCCAGTGTGTTTTAATGCTGTCTTTCAGGCAAACTAGAATGTCCTAGAATAGGCATTACTATAAAAAAAAGCTAGAGATTTTTATCACAAAGACATTCTGTGACTTCTGGAATACAAGATCCCTCATCACAAAAATGAGATGTAACCTTATATTTTGCTATGAGGTCTACTAAGCTCGTCAAAAACGAGATGCTGAACTTCTCTAAAAATATTGACTGAAGTAAATACAGTGAATGAAGACTTCACTGAATATATTGCCTCAAAGCCCTCTGGAAGAGGTGAGCCCAGTTCACGGGACTGGGCTTATAACAGCACCATAGAATGATCACAGAATTATCTTTTAGCAAAAACGATTAGGCTTCCTCTTTACTTGAAAAGGAAGTTATTATTAGAAAGTGAAAACCAGGCCAAAAGGAAGATTTTAGAAACAAACTCAAGTGCAGTTTTTGTCTGCCAGCTTCTGCGCTCCCTCCTTTTTGATGCCCGTGCTCAGAGCCGTGGTTGGCTGAAAACAACCCAATACACAACGTTCAATTCAGGGCACCTGAAAGCGTGAGCTTCTAGAGCTCGATAGCACCGTCCAGGTTTCTTAAAGCTGTCACTTCATCCCGTGGAACACAGGCCGGACAAAAATAGCATGCCTGGAAACATGGCGGCTTGCTGCAAAAGCTGCTTTCAGCCAACCGTGGGGGGGAGGGGGGGGGAAAGGGGGGGGGGGGACGACAACACAAAAACAAGTCATTGTTTTTGCAATGAATGCTCACTACGTGTACGAAAGCCATAACAAAAGAAGCCATCAGTATCCCCGGAAAAATTCATCAGGTCATGCAGATCCAAGAGCAAAGCGCACGTGGACGATACCCAAACCTTTCCGCCGTTGTTCCCCCCGCTCAACCAGGCGTATTTCGGGCTTCGCAGGAGGCTGAGCGGCCTTCTCAGCAGCACCGCTTTAAATCTCGGCTCGATCCCGGCCCAGCCAAGGTCACACGGGCAGCGGTGCCGCGCCGCAATCCTGCATCCAGCGCCCCGAAATCACGCGTGCGGCACCGAGCTGCCGGCGGCCCGGAGGAGGCGCTGAGCCCTTGGAGACCAGCGCCGTGTTACCTCACAGCAAAAACAAACCGGCCAAAGGATAAAAAGCACGGGATTGAAAGAAAAAATAGAAGGAAGAAAGAAAAGCACGCAGCGCGCAGAACAAAGCTCGCAGCCCCACATCGCGCCGGCCGCTCCTCCCCCCGCGCTCGGTAAGCACGCAGCCCAACGGCGCCCGGCAGCCCCGCGCCCTCCACGCACGGCCCCGAGGGCGCTGCCCGCCCCACCGTGCTGCCCACAAAGCCGCGCCGGGGCCGGGCGGGCTTCACCGCGGGACGAGGGCCGAGAACGAGCGGGGACCTCAGCGCCGTCCCCATCCCCGTCCCCATCGACCCCTCCAGGCCGCGGCCTACCCCAGGGTTTGGGGGGGAAGAGGAGAGGGGGAAACGTGGAGGTGGGGGATGGAAAGGGGATCGCCCCGCCGCACGCGGCCCTCCGCCGTCCCCGCGAGGCCGCGGCCCCGCCGCCAGCTCCCTCCCGCCCACCCCCGGCCCTCCCCCTCACCTGCGGGCGGAGCGGGACGGGAGCGGGAGGCGTCGCTTGACCACAGGCCTGCCCGGCGGACGAGAAGCACCTCACGCAACGGCGTGCTCTGCCGCCGGCTAGATATATCCGGCGCGCAGCCTAACCCGGCGGAGGCGGCTCCACCAATCAGAGAGCGCCGCTCTCCCTCACTCGGACGCCGGTTGGCTCAGAGAGGGGAAAGGAGGCGGGCTGGTAACTGAATGGCAGCTCACTCCATCAACCACGAGGACTGGCTCCGCGAAGAAGGGAGATTGACCGACACCGATACGAACCAATGGGCGGCGAAGTTCTCCGTGCTGAGGCGGGGCGAGACCTAATGGATTTTCCTCGTAGCCAATAGGACGACGCTGCCCGCGCGAACGGGCGCGAAAGGCGGGGCAGGCGTGACGCGGTAGTGTGGTTGAGGCGCACGGCAGCGCCCTTGAGAAGGTGCTGGTAAACCCCGTTATAGATAGGGGCGGAACCCCCATGCGGCACCGGGCGTAGGGACCAATAGGAGAGCGCGGCGGGCTCTGACGGACAGGCAGGCCCCGGCATCCTTAAAGGGACCGTCAGCCCGCACGAGGGGCGGCACTGGATGCCCGCACCTCCCCCTGCTGGAGGACAGGCCTGGGCCATCACTTCGAGCAGGCTGCGAGCTCCATACAGAACCACCGGGCCTCACTAGGGCTTCATCCGGCCCTCGTAGTGCAGATGCTCAGACCCTGAGGAGAGCAGGATGGAGGAGAAGCAGGCAGACGGCTGAGCAAGCCCGCTGTGTTTATATCACATCCCATCGCATCTACGACGTGAAGCACTCTGAGATACATTTGACCCTCTCCAACTGACTTCCTTCCCCACCACCACATCCCTGCCCGCTACCCAAATCCTTCCCTATGTGCTTGGTGCTGGGCCGTGCTCTGCCTTAATATCCTTCTCCCCCACCGCCACTATTTATAGAGCTGCACTGCAATCTGCCAGTGCATAAATCACACGCGCTGCTGTGGAGCTCAACGTCAGACCGATGACCCACAGCAGCTAAAATAACTGCTGCAGCTGGGACCACGGTGGCAATGTAGGAATAGGGAGCTCATGTTTTGATAAAGCAGCACAACAACCAGGTCCTGTGCACGACAAAAATGAATGCCCGCGTGGAAGCATGCTGGAAAAGGCATCCATGGCTCCTTCTGCTCGGTCTCCCAGCAGGGCTCAGTCTGAGGGATATAAACTCAGTGTATGGGGGTCAGCCAAAGCTTGCCGACACCCCAGGACACAGCCCTATTCAGTGTGTGAGCAAATAACCAGATGCATTCCCGTTATCCTTCCAGCTACATGTTCAGCTCCTGAGGAGGAGGACTGTGAAGCCCAGCACTGCTCAGGAAGTCTCACATCCACCTAGTGCTCCTCAGCCCATCTCATTGCCCGGTGCACCTGAGCTGCTGGGCTCTGCCCCAGCTTCTCCACCTTGCTGCAGTGTGTAGGAAAGGGCTTCTCCAGTCTGGAGAAAAGAAGGCTGCGGGGTGACCTAATTGCAGCCTTTCAGTACAGGAGGGGAATCAACTCTTTGAAAGGGCAGGTAATGGCAGGACAAGGGGTTTTAAGTTGAGGGAGGGAAGATTTAGGTTGGATGTCAGGGGAAAGTTCTTTACAGAGAGAGTGGTGAGGTGCTGGAACAGCTGCCCAGAGAGGCTGTGGATGCTCCGTCCCTAGAGGTGTTCAAAGCCAGGTTGGATGGGGCTCTGGGCAGCCTGGTCTTGTTTAAATGTGGAGGTTGGTGGCTCCGCATGTGGCAGGGGGGTTGGAGATTCATGATCCCTGAAGCCCCTTCCAACCCTGGCCATTCTGTGATTCTGTGAAAGGAGCCCATCCTCCTTCAAAGGGCCAAACAGCTGGGGAGAAGCCAAACAGAGCAGGGAGAACCATCCTCAGGGACCAGCATCCTCTCTCACTCAGCATGCTCTGAAGTAGAGAACCCCTGATTCCTCTGTCTGTCCATAACCCCACGGCACATCTCAAAACCACTTTCTCTAAGCCTCTTGGCCTCTCAGTTGGCATCAGCCTTGCTCCCACCTTGGGTGAGCAGAGCGAGGGCTTTCGGCCGAAATTCTGCTTCGCTGTGACCCAGAGAGCCGCCATTCAGCCTCAACAACTCTAACGCACAGATCAGATAAATGAGAAGAGAAACATAAGCAAGGTGCGGTTCTCAGAACAAAAGCAACTCTCCTAAAACTTACACCGTCCCATTAAAAACGCTTAAGAACGCATCGAAACAAACACGCGCAGCAAACGGGTGAGCCGAAGCCGAGAGCTCCGAAGCTCCCGCTGCAGACACGGGCAACGAGTACCCGGCGCAGCCTCCCGAGGCCCCGGGGGCGCTGTGCGGAGCTGAGCTCAGCGCCCGCCCCTTCCTCCGAGCCGGGAGCCGCGCAGCGCCGCGCCATGCCGGTGGGTGCGGGCCGGGCGGGCGGGCTGCGGGGCGGCGGGGGGTGGGAGGGGGGGGGGGGGGGATCGAAGGGTCGGGGGCTGCGGGCAGCGTGGCGAGCGCCCAGCCTGGGAACTGCAGGGCTTCCTTCCCGCTGGCTTGTCAAAACATCAAGGAAGTGCCAGTTCAGATTGAAAATGGTAATAAATGGTGGTGCTGAGCGCTGCGGTTCTGCTCAGTTCCGGACTGATCCGTGCTGTGAAGATGGTGGGGGGCGAAAGGCTTGGTTTGGAGTAAAAAGATGGAGGGATTGCAGGTAGGAAGCAGCGATCTTGCTTTTCTTTTTTAAGGAAATCAGGTAAAGAATCACAGTCGCAGAATGGTCCGGGTTGGAAAGGACCTCGAGGATCATGAATCTCCAACCCCCCGCTACAGGCAGGGCCACCGACCTCCACATTTAATACCAGACCAGGCTGCCCAGGGCCCCATCCAATCTGGCCTTGAACACCTCCAGGGACGGGGCATCCACAGCCTCTCTGGGCAGCTGTTCCAGCACCTCACCACTCTCATAGTAAAGAACTTAAAAATATGATAGTAAGGAAAAGTAAGAAAAAAAAGAAAGAAAAGCTAAGAAAAGTAGAAAGTAGAGGAGATGAGGGTCTGTCCGGTACTGAAGGCTGAGAGCAGTGGTCAGTGTTAGGGCTGTGCACATGTTCATTGCCCAGTGCCACTCATGAGTACTGCAGGTAGTGCTGGGGAGCAGTCCTCAAATTTATTTTTGTGATGTTTTTATGGGTTTGTGACATCGGGGCCCAGAGGCACAAGAATAGGGTGGGCATTGCAGAGCAAAGCAGGGGACTTGCTCCTCCTGGGCTGTGCATGGTACGTGGGTCCAGCAGAACATCCAGAGGGCTGAACTGGCCCTGGAGGTGTCCTGCTTTCAGTGCATGGTTGGACCAGGCGGTTTCTAGAGGTCCCTCGTGGTTGTTCTGTGAGGGACAACACGAGGACACCACAGGGAGAAGTACTGAGAGCTCTCAGTTCTGCTGAGGAACCCATCTTGGAATGTTTGGATGTTTTGACTGAGGAAGGTTGGAGCTGTCCTCCCTGAGGCCAGAGGAGAACGTGGAAGATGGTGGTGAATGCTCCTGACCCCTCATCTGTCTTTTTGCAGAGACACGAGTTCTTTGTGGACATGACCTGCGAAGGCTGCTCCAATGCAGTCACCCGTGTCCTGCACAGACTGGGAGGTGAGTCAAGCTACAGGGTGTGTGACAACTCTGGGGCCAGACATCACTGCCTCGTGGTCCTCCGTTTTGAGCAGGAAGCAATGTGGGTAACAGCTGGAAGTGTCCGGGTGGAAAACTCTGCCACCAAACGCTCTGCTTTTGAGCTGCTGGTAGCTGATTGCTAGCAGAACTGGTGTGAGCCTTGGAGAAATAGCATGGGAAGGAGGAGGTGCTGGGGATGCAGGAGGCTTCAAGCATCAGGTGGCTCTATGCACCACCAGGACCTCGTCCCGAAGCTGCCGGGAGCTGCACCCCAATGCTCAGGATGGCTGGGCAGAAGAAGAGGAGGTGGATCTCCTGCCAAGTGCCATTCCTTAGGAGGCTGATGGTAGCTGTGCTGCTTCCTTGGATGTGTCATCGGCATCCAAATGCAGGACAGTCATGGTGAAGAGCTGCTGAACAGAGGGTTTGGTGGCAGCTTGCACAGCCTGCTTTTTGTACAACCTGGAAAATTATAACTTATGTCTTCTCTGTGCTGAGATCAGCAGGAGAGCAGGATTTGGCCTGCACTCACCAGTTATGAGGACTTGTCATCCTGTTTACCCATCCTCACCGAGTGGGAACAGCTCACAGTCGCCAAGCTGAAGGCTGTGAGAATTCTTCAGGACCCCATTGCCAGGCTGTGGTGATTTCTGTTCCTCTGTGTGTGGTTCTCAGCACCTCTGTTCTCCCATCACTCTTTGACATGCTGGCCAAATTCAGCCTCATGGGATGGAGCAGCAGAGCTGCCAAAGCTATTACATATCTACAAGTTGTGTGACATTGTATGGTTGGGTAGCTTCATTCTGAGTTCTCACTGGTTTGAGAGTGGCTGACCTTTATTTACCAGTGGGACACCCATATGTAAGGTGTCTTTGTCCTCCTCCTGCTTACAGCTGCTAGCTGGTACTGCCACTGATAAAACCTGCCCCAACCCCATCTTAACTTCCACATCATCTCCTTATTAGTGTCCCTCCATTCCAAATCTCAGTACAGAGTGAGCTGTCTGGAGGTTATAGTGGTTGGTTTAAACTCTACTCGTTCTCGTTAATGCTTGTGATTGTGCTAGTCTAATAAAGCCCCCTAATAAAGCTATGGCACCTAATGCACATCTGTAGGCAATCTGGCTTCCTTTGTACCAGTGCTGGTGGGATCCCGCTCTGGTTGTGCTGGCTGGTCACGGGATAGAAGTTTGCTGACAAGAGGCATGTACGATTGACTTGGTGGCCTTGGGAGCACAAATGCATGAAAGTGAGCTTTTCCCTGCTCTCATACCATTTGCTTCTACCTAAGTAAAATGTTTTTGCTTTCCTTCCAGGTGTCCAGTTTGATATTGACCTGCCCAACAAGAAGGTGTACATTGAGTCAGAGCACAATGTTGACACCCTATTGGAAACTCTAAA